CATTTTCTTCAATCATTATTTTGTTTTTTTTTCTTCCCCTCAGATGCTACTTGTATTTTAATACCAGAGGGATGCAAAATGATCTTTTGAGGCTTTACCTCACAACCTTCTTGAATAATTTTGTGCAATTGTCTCAACATGTTGAGCAAAGAAGTGGAGTATATGATGATCTAAGAAACTCCTGTTCTTTAAATTTTCTGATTCTAAGCTCCATCAATTTCATAGCTATAATGTTCAGCATGTTTTAAATTAATCAGGGGTAAAAGGAAACATAAAAGAAAAAAGTCATGAGCTCATTTCCATAGAAACACACTATGCTCTCAGCTGAAATTAAGTGCTGACTTTGTATTCTGAAAGATGGTTGTGCAGACAACATGTGCTCACTGGCCTGTAGATATTGCGTCAAAATGTCTTAATAGTATATATGCGCTGGTAATGTTGTGCATGGTTAAAAAATCTTTGTGCTAGTACCTTGTAACTAACCCTTGCAGTTGACTAGACTATAATCTTTTCTCATTTCTAATCCATGTTATGCCTTTGGATTGGCAAAAGAAAGGATTAGGATCACTGTGCATCCTAGCATGGAAAATCTCAAGTTATAACAGCTGATAAGATGGTAAAGCTCCTCCTTGTTATATCCTCTGTGAAATCTTTGGTTTGTAAAAATCTATGAATATATTACTATTGGTTACAGTAGGACCAACATCTCATATCTGGAGTGTGATCATGCATGATAGCCATATTTTAGTCTGTTAATATAAATTCTGGGGCAAAGCAGAATTACAAAGTCCTTTATTTTTCATCAGTTTCCTAAACTTGACAATAGTTTCTCCATCTTAGTGTTTGTTTCTGATGATATCTAAAAGGCCAGAAAATGCCAAATATATGAAAGACGATGAGAATATACAGTTAAGTTACTAACTGGTGGTTAATAGCCATCTGGAACAGCTGAGGAGATCTTATGCATCACTTTTTAGTGACTTTCAGAAATTACATTTTATTAGTTTTTAGAGGGTCCCTTGAAAGATCATCTTTTTTTGATTTAATGGTTTACTGTAGTGAGCTTCTTCATATAAGGTGTTCTTACTGCTGAGTTATAGAAGTACCTTTGGGTGAAATCAGTACTCAAAATTCTTTCTCAAAATTCAGTCCCTACTTTGTGCCACAAGCATCAGCTTTTGTTTGTTTTTATAGAACCTTGCCTCAGAAAGCACTCTTACTGTGTTTAGTTCGTGATCCTGTTAGGGACTGGAATTTTGGTTTCTAAATATTACTCTCTTTGAGGGAAGCAATAACAAGTTGTGTATATAAAGTTGCATAAAAATCATTGTGAAAGCTGTCAGTGGGCTCACTTCTGCAAATTGTTGGCATCCAGTTTTCTCAGAGTCATTCTTTAAAATCCACTCTGTCTGTGTATTTGCAGTCTATTAATATTAAAAAGCTGTTCTATGATTATGAAATGCATTTGCAGCAGAATGTTTTTCATTTTGGGGGCAAAGAGAGGTCATTTCACCATCTAGAAAATTGCAGTGCATGGTTCTGTCCTATATTCTTAATCTCCAGTTATATAAACAATTCTATTTATTCCTCAGTTCATTTTGCATCTGAATCTCTGATTAAGATTGATCCTCAGCCACTTCCCCCATTGTTTCTGCTTTATGCTACTATCTAGCAAGCTTTAAGTCATAATGACATTCTGTGTAGCTATCTGGGGTTTTGAATTTGCTTTGCCTGGTAGGAACAGCTTTAGTTTCAGGGTACTGAAGAGCTATCAGTTGAACATTGAATTAGCTTGACTGTATTTCGGTATATGTATCTGTACTGTGTCCAGCTTGTTAATTTCACAAGGAGCAAGTGTACATATCTAAACATGAAGTTAGTCCCGAGAGAGGAATCTTTAGATTTCTGTCCTCTGCAAGATCAGTTCAAGACCAGTTGCGTTTTGTATAACTTTTTAATTTTACAAACTTGCAAAACTGAGACTTCAGACAAGGGAGGAGAGAGAGTGAAACCTCAGGCTTTGCATCCTTTTCCTTTTCTCACTTGGATTGTTTTTTCTCTGAAATAATTTTTTTAAAATAAAGCAAAACAAAACTGAAACTAGCTGTATCATTCTTTAGAAATATGGAATAAAAGCATTCGCATACCATGTGTATAAGCTAACAGAAAAATATTAGCATGGGAGAAGAGATGAGAAAACCGTTTGAATTCACTGTGTATTAAAGCAGTAGAAGAAATACTTTATCAGCAAGAAGCTTCATAGGGAAATAATTACCAGCGTGTGTCAGAAATAGCAATGTGCAGTTTACTACAAACAGCTAGTACTTACCAATTCACTGTACAGCTCAGCTAAGTTTTCAAAAGTCTATATAGAGTAGATTTTTATAGTTTTCTCTATTCTGTGTATTGTAAATCAAATATGGGAAATTAAATAACTTTTTGACGTGCATTTTCAAAGATGAAGAAGCTTTTTCTCATATCTCTGCATAGGGACATGCTGCTTGGTATAGTTATACAAGTTGGGAATTTACTTAGACACAAACTTTTTTTGAGAGCATACATGCTTTTTTCAAAATGCATGCCTAGGTTTGAGGCGATCATTGAAAAGCTGAGGTACACCTGCATCATCACTTCCAATTTATGTTTGCCTCTCTGGTTCCTGGAAGCCCACAATTTGAGGAGAGCACCATTTTGTGGTGTAAGATACTTTCCTAAGTTAGTGCTAGTTTAGCCACACTTCCATTTTTGCCTTATTCCCTGTTCTCTATATTTTCTTTGAGCTGCACTTGTTGGAAAGTTTCAGTTAAAACACCTAGCCATTTTTGAGAACAAGGTTAAGGAAAACTCAAATTTGTTAAACTCATATATGTTTCATACTTTTTTCTTTCCTTCTTTGCTTAAGGTGACTCATGAGTTTATACATATAATGTAATCCCAGTAATCATCTGCATAAGCACTTAAAATGTGTTTACAGTCTCTGGACATTGCATATAGCAGATTTCATCTGTGTTCTTCTGGAATTGCTGTTTTACTGTGCTCTGAATTTTTATATACACATATATATATGTATGTATGTATAAAATCCTTAAGCTCTCACAGAAAACAATTGCTTGACCTATCTGAAAAAGGTTTCATGCACATAGGCATAAACACAATGTGATCTCAGCGTGTCAGTGAAGTCTCGAACTTTTCTTTTGATGCTGAAGTCATTTTTATCTCCTACTGACCTTGCAGACCTAATCCAGCTGTAGGAGATTGGGCAAGGTTCTGGTCCCATTAGTGAATGATCAGGAGGATGTTTAACTAAGCTCCAAATGCCAAATGCTACTCTTGTTTCTCCTTGTGCAAAGTTGTTCAAGCCATAGGCTTTCACAGGTTGTCTATGAAGGCAGAAGTTGACCTAGAGAGCTTTTCTTACCCGAAATGATACATGAACTAGAACTGTGCATGACTTTCTGATGCTGATGAACTTGACACTTGCAAAAGACCTTATTTTGGTCATAAACTCAACACCAGAATCCACCAAAATTAATTAAGTGCTGAGTGCTGCAATGTAATGTCTGCAGATTTCCTTTAGAATGTGAAGGAAACTAGCTACTGAGAATTTAATGATAACATAAATACTCTTTAGTGTTCTGGAAGGGGGAATCTAATATGTGTTAATTTGAAATGCTTTGGATTACTAATTGTTCAGCAAAAAGAAATGAAAATTATTTTTAATCCCGTTCCCAGAGTAGGCGGACAAGAGGATGTTTAACAAAATTAGTGACTAGTAAATTTAGTACAGATGGAAGGAATCACTACTGCAGCAGTATGATTTCAAATTATGGAATTCACTCTTGTCACATCATTAAGCAAAATATTGTAGGTGAATTTTAGAATAGCTCAGGTGATTTCATGATCATCAGTGACATTTACAGTTTTGTTAGCCGTGAGGAGAATAAGCAGAAAATAATTCCCATGTGTCATATAATTCAGCTGTCAAAACAAAATACTAAAGTAATTGTCCAGTCTAGCATGTTGATTTCTTCTGGTGGCTTGACACCAATCTTCTTGCACTTTGTTTTTTCTAGCGTGGTTGAGCCTATTTCCCAGACTTAGCTAACCTAGCTTAAGTCCCTTCAAGTGCTTCATATGGGCCACCTACTTATAAAAGCCATGTGGCAGAGCCAGTAGGAAACGTAAATCACAAGAACACGAAACAGCAACAGCTTTTTGACATGTTCTCCACTTTGGGAGAAGAAATAAATGTGGTAAGGCTTTTGATACGACATTTTCATAAACAAAGTGAGGGAATATGGCCTACTTAATGACCATTATATGAGTACACCACTGATAAAAAACAGAGTGGAAAAAATGAAAAGGGGTGTGGGAACAGCCTTCAGTTGTGTAACTATGTGAAGGCTTGATAGTAAGAAAACATTTCTAATTTCACACTGTAACAGGGTTATCAGAGGATGTTGTGGAAAGTCTTTTATGGAAGACTGTAAAGGAAAGGTTGGACAGCCATCTCCCAAAGCCAGTCTAGGTATACATCTCGTCCAGTCTCAAGTAGAGGGTGAGATAAAATGGTATCTGGAAGTCCTGTCTAGCCCTACGGCTCTGTGATTCTCTTTATTTCTCAGTCCTGCTGGGTTTTTTCTGCAGAATTATCTGCAAGTTTTTCAATTTACCCATTTTAGGAGGCGTAGGTTAATTTTCAAAAGAGTATACAGAATTTGAAATTAAACTTCTAAATGATCATATATATATCAATTTTCATATTATAGCAGCAGAATGGATAGTCTTTACATTTACATAAAAAGCAAAAGTGCTATCTATAAGTTACGATTACAAAGTTATCTTGTAATTCATAAATGCTTATTCTTTTCCCATGCAGATTTCAAGGTATAGAGTGTAAGCAGTAAAGCAGAAATAACTTTGCAGCTCTTGAGATACTTGCAGAAGTCAACTGAGGTGTAGTAGTATAGGAAATATTCTGGTTTGTTTTGCTTCTACAGAAATGCATTTTCTGCAGACAGAGAATTAAGAAAATTTCTGGCGCCTGCATTCAATGTTCATATGGACGCTGCCCAGCCTCCTTCCATGTTACCTGTGCCCATGCTGCAGGAGTACTTATGGAACCTGATGACTGGCCGTATGTTGTCTATATCACATGTTTCAGGCACAAGATCAACCAAAATGTGGTAAGTAATTTGTTTCCTTATTTACTGAAAAGCAGAATTGTAGAATCAAAATACGTTTCTAGAAAAAATGGGAGAAGAGATTCACATGGTGTGTAATAATAGCTTCATCTATCATATTTCCATTCATAGCAAAACTATTGCAGCTTGAAGGTTTTTCCTTATCCCATTACCTGGGAGAAATGATACTTGATATGCCTAGCACATTTTTCCATTAGAGTAGTTGCTAAATGTATTGTTTTGTCTGCCTTAACAAGTCATTAAATTCCCTATTTTGTTAACTTGGAGTGTATTACAAATACCAGATCACAGTATCTTACAAATACCCACGGATACTGTGAGATAAAGGATACAGTGTGCATGTAAGCTCTTTGTCTTGCCTCCAAACAATATCTCACAAATATCTAATTATAATTATTCTGTCATCTGGCAAAGTAACATTTTGCCATGCCATGAAAATTCCCATTATTAGTGTGTCCTCTTATTTTCTGTGCTGAGTCTGTGCTGAGGGGGAACCTCTAATTTTAGAAGAGACACATATAGACTTAGTCATTATTGTCTGGTAAGTTTTAATGTCTTTTATTCCACCAAATTATTATTATCTCAATTAAGAAATAGCTTTGGCCATTTATCCTTGGCTTTTGAAATTGTATTTTATGTACAACAAGAATGACTGCTACTTAATAGAGTCTTAATAAGGAAATAGCTATTAGATATTTTAGACAAGGATTTCTTACCTTTTTCAAGTTGAGAACTCTTTATTTGAATAAATTTTTTATCTCCTTTGTGCATTAAAAATGAAAGAGTAAACCCCTGTAATAGTACTAATGAAAGTCTGTATAACGTGTGTATGTCTTTCAAGAGGTTGTTAGTGAATTCTTGGTCTTAGAGACAAGACTATTAAAGAGTCGAATTTTCTTCTGAGTATCGTAAAATGTAATGCCTTGCAACTAAAGTAGTCAGTCAGACCTGAGTGTTCAATCTGTTGGTAGTTCTGAAAAAAAAAGGGCAGACAAATTGTGTGCTCTTTTTCAAAACTTCCATGGAATAGTTTTGCCTTTTAAAGATTTTGCTTTCCAAAATAAATAATTGTGTGAAACCAGTACAGTTTTGTATGATTTCAGCATCTTTATACATTTTTAATGAAAATCGATTTGGTTTCAAAACAAATTTGAAACACAATCTGTACAGGCAACTTTTTAGATACTTTTCATGGCTTTCCTAGAAAGAATTATCCAGTGTCTGAAAATTACTGAGTTAAATTCATTGCCAATAAGAACAGGACTGTTCTGACCAGATATTTTCTAACATTTGTTCCAGATAAGTTTCCATACTTCAAGTAGTGAGATTTTCATCATTAGCTTGGGAAACTGTTCCTGGATCAAATAGGACTTTCTGTACCCACTTTATGCATTGCTGTCACCGCTTCTTAGTTCTTTGAACTTCCTGTAATATGCATTTGTCTATGATGTTGGAGTCCCCTTGTGCAGTCAAACAAAATATGTTATTTTTTTCACTGTATTTTCTTTTGTGATAGTAGGTCATAAGTGTGATAAAGTTATGGATTATCTCTTCTGTGTTTTTACAACACCTAACTCTGGTGGTAAGTCCCGTCCTAAATAGAGGCCTTTTCTGGCCCTTCTGTATAAATGTTAGTTATTATTAGAAATACATACAAAATATTATGAAAGCCAGTTTGAGGAGAATTTATGCTTCCATTTTAATTTAAAAAAGCGCTGACCTTACCACTTAACATTTAACCTTCTGAGGATGCATTTGCCCTGGAACAGTAAAAACAGTTATTAAATAGCTATTATTTTTTATGCTAAGAAACAAAACACTAATAGGATGAGAGGGGCTCCTACAGGGTCTTTTTTTCTCCTAGTGAATTTCTTGATCTGAATTTCGTATTTTCAAAGGAAAAAAACATATGAAGAAAAAGGATTTTGCATAATTTTTTATGAAGTGGTTTTATAAAGCATGAACAAGGTAGATCGGATAAGAATGGGACTCTGTCAAGGCCCTTTCTTGAAACATAGCACCAACCTTTTTGAAAAAGTGGTTTGATTAGCTTATTTCATGTGACTCAAATCAAAATCAAAGTACAGAAGAGAAACTGTGTTTTTCATTGGGCCAAAACTTGGAAGGATCAGATATGCTGTTAAAGAATCTTTTTCTGTGAAATTCTTAACTTAATTCTGAGACAAGGGAGACTGCCATATGTTTATGTATGATTGGTTTTATACTTTGTCTTTTGGATAATTAATCCAATCACATCTTTAAACCTTTGGAAGTTTTTTCACCATTGATTTTCTTGTAATACTGTTCCTGGCTATTAGCTAGCCTTTGATGCAGAAACTACGCTGCTCTTCCCCATTAGGCAGAGCAATGCTGCTCACTTATAATGAACTTTTTTTTGTTTGTCCATTGTTTTAGATTTCTTACTCAAAAGCAGAACAGTGTAATCCTGCAGACTGAAATATTATACTCATTTTGCGAATTTTTACAGGAGTCAAATTGTCTTGCCAGCAAAAACAAATCTCTTCTGGTTGTTAGGAATTCAAAAAGTTATACATAAAGTAAGGATATTATTATTTTTCCTTCATTTCAAGGAAACAAAATTATAGTTGTCTGATGTTTCCTTAGTATGGCCTCTAGATATTATGCCTGAATTCTCAGTGAATGTCTTTGATTGCTACTTTCCTCAAGTTAAAAAAGAACCCCAAAACTCACTAACCAAAGGATGGCATCTGGGCTACGACAAATGCCTGTAGTAGTATTGTAATATGTAAATCAAGCAGGTTGTTCAACCTGAAACCTAACTATGTACTAATAAATATGTATTACTGGTGATAGTGTATCTCTTCACCTCAGGATAATGGCTTATTGCAATGCTGAGGTGGGGTTTGTGTTCATATTATTCATTGCTGTGATCTCAAGAAAAATGTGTCCAAATTATTTATCTGGGAAATCAAATTATTTATCAATATTCTTTCATATATCTTTTTGACTAGGGGTCAGATTCTTTCTGAGTGGTCTTCATTATTTCTTCCTGGAGTACAATTATAATGTCAGCCATGGAAAATATTGGTAGATATTCTAATGATAAATTGTAAAGAAAAGCAGAAGTAAAGCATAATTGTTGCACCCATATAGTGCTACCAAATGAAGTAAATATGCAAATATTAAGAATTTTTACATATTGAGATGATTTTTCAAATTCTGTGCTTTTGATGTCCACACTCAAATTTAAGTGTTATGTTCACCAAAAGTACAGCTCCATAAAATAACACAAAATTTTGCTAGCAGAAAAGTTTTACCCAGAATGGCTTTGGATATTCCTTTCAAATGCTAATTTTTTTTTTTTTTAAATGTAAATTATCGTGTCACTATGCAAGGAAGATGCTGTGCTTTGCTACCTGCAGATCTTATAGTGGTCAGAGTTTTTTCATTTTTGTTCTTTGACCAGGTTTATCCCTAGGCATGAAAAATATCCTCAGATCTTTTTCATGTCAAATTACTAGAATATTTGGAGCTGTAGTGGAGTTTAGGTGCTCCAGGTGGGTTTTGTTTTGATAATAAAAATCTCTCTCATATACCAAGAAATGAGAAGGAGAGAAGTTTTATGCAAGCATACAAACAGCTAAGGGGAAAACAACTCAAAGAACTGATATAAGATTAGCAAAGCTAGTACTGAAGGTCAGAGGAAGTCAGCTGGAGGCAAACAGACTCATGGGTGAGATTTTGTTTGGAAACTGTGATCAGAAAAGGCCATCTAGGTAGCCCCTATGATGTGCATTTGGCAAGACTGATTGTCTTAAGAAGGGGTATTTGGGACAGGAATTGCCAAAACTCACTGCTGCTGGTTTTTGAACTATGTTAAGTGATCAACTGGGTTTTGATTTCCCAGATAATCTATTGCAACTGTAGGCCAGTTCTTACCTTTGTAGTCACATAGGGAATGAAGGGACGCTGTCAAGCAGAAGCTGTAGATAGTTTTTCTTTTGAATACATGGGTGATGCATTGTCATTGTATGCACCTGCCTGCTAACTGCTGCCAGCCCCTCTGCGTTTTAGAGAGTCTAGAGGCATGTCTTGTTGGAAGGACATATTATTCAAAAATCATGAAGTGGCATATTTTTGAAATGTCACGCATCATTTCCATGCCCAAATTACAGTTCTAGGGAGAAAGCTTAAAATGATGAAAAGAGTTATATTTCTATATCAAATCAGCCTTAGAATTTTGAGGATCCTCCATTAAATATTTTTGTCTGGGAATGTTTATATATGTATGGCTTATGTATTTTATTTAACAAGATTTGTGTGTTTCCTGCCATACAGAAAACAAAGGAGAAAGTAATTTTCCCTCCTATCTATTTGAAGTTTGCACACAGAAGAAGAGGTTAACTTTTTTTCCTCTGTATCTGGTTGTTTTCTGTATTTCTGCTGCTATCTTAGTTCATCCTTGGCTTAGGTGCTGTTAAAGAAAATCATGCTTTTAAAACCACAGCTTAACACAATAATCTAGTAACTACCGCAGCTGTTTCTTTAATCAGATAGATTCCCTTGCATAACAACTGTCCTTTCTGATCAAAAATGACATTCTTAACATCAATAGATTCTTAGGATTTTCTGTCAGGAAATATTTTCTGGGACATGCAATCAGTTATAGAGTTGTGCTTGTCAATATTTTCCTGTGAAATATATCAAGAATCCTTCCAAGATAGCATACTGAAAAATAAACTCCTTCTCCTTGAACTGGGATGCATTTCTGATTTTTATTATTTTTTCTGATAAGCTATGGCATTTCTTCTCTGAATATTTTATCATTAAATGAGCCTGTATTGTCTTTTAAAGTATTATATTTTGCCTATATAGAGTACCATCTTCAGACTTCAAAAACATGTAAAAATATTTAATACAGATATTTCTCCTTGGACTTCGGTACTATAGTAACAAACTTCTATTATCTCATACAAGTAATTCAGTTCATACTCTCTAGTTTATTTCTATTTTTTTCTTTCCAAATAACTGATGCCTAAAATTGAAAAATGATTGGTCAATTGACACGTTGATGTTTATATATATTTCAAGATTGGATAAAAAGTGCTAGTTAGCATGTAGCAATATAGTCATTCCTGTAATACTTATACCAGTAAACCATTTTTTCCCCCTTTTATATCTCTGTAGTTATACTAAGTGGCATAATTAATTACATAACTACATAAATAATAATTTTATTATACAGGTAAATGGTTAAATAGTTTATTAGTAAACTCAGAACATTGTTTCTAGGTAATTTTGGAAATGCTTTAGAAACACAATGGGGTTTTACTGTCTGAGGTGACCTGAACTAAACAGGAGTATTTGAGTTTGTTTTTTTTTTTAAATTATAGACATTACTATTAATGTTTGGAGTCTAACAAAATGAATTGATGGTGTCCTTAGTTTTCCCTTTGATAGCAGTGCTAAAAATTCTGTAGCTATATCATTTTCCAGATTTTCACAGGCACCTTTTTAGATTATTACACTGACTGAAGACTTCACTGCCTTGAAAGATTTAAGAAGCAGTGCTAGAAAACTAATTCCTTTAGCATATGTCATAAAGTATTTTCATACTGTTTACACAAATACTTCTAATCGAAAATACGTTAATGAACGCGTGCCATTTCAACTGACCCTTGTCTTCCATTGTTAGAAGAGTTCAAACGTCCAGCTGCAGCCAAAGTTACAATAACTTTTGTGTATGCAAATGGACCTGCGTAAAGTAATGAACAGGCAGTCAAAGTGGTGAGAGAGAAGTGCTTTCCTTGTTTTATTAGGATAAGAAGCTCTTGATTTTATGTTTCCTGATCAAAAAGCTTGCTCCTTAAGTAGGAGGTTCGTGGGGATGCATCAGTTGGGAGCTGATGTGTACAGCTGTCTGCATCATGTGAGCTGAGCATTTACTGACTTACAAGGTTCAGTTCTGTTATATATAGAAACTATCAAGCAGTTGTTGACGTAGAATTTTTGCATAGTTTGACAACCCTGCTACAATTCTGAGTGACTTAACTAGCTCTAGTGAATTCAAAGTAAAAAGTGAAAATTATTCTTACTGATGCACTACATACATAAGTGATGAAGAGTGATCAATGATGTTTGAGGTTTTAAAACAAATGTTCTGCACAGTGTTGGTTAAGTTACTCAGATACACTGATGTAGACGCTCTGACAAGAACTGGATTTGTGTTTAATTATTTCATCCAAATTATTAAGCAATTATGAAGAATCATACAGAAATCCAGTACTTAAAAAATACACCTTTTAAAATGGTTTCGCAGCATTGTATAGCTTTGCCATATGTTGTATCTTCCAGTGCAACAAATAAGATACAGAAATGTTGCTAGCTGTTTAAGTATCCTTGCCCTACTGCAAAGGTTAGAAGGCATCGGTTGCAAAAATATTTTTGAATGCAGTAATTTGTTATTCCGTGGATCCTGTTTGTTTTCTCATGAAATGCAAAACCTTTGTGTGTCATATAAACTTGTGTGATCATAGTTAAAACAAATCGTTTTACTTTTGAAGTTTTTGTATTAAGTGGGGAATTACCATCAGTTCTGTTTTAACATTGATAGATTTCTGATGAGCAAACCGTTTTTTTTTGAATGACTTTTTCTTTTAAATTCTTCCCTTTTTCAAGAGAACTAAAGCATGTGAGAAGGCCATTACAGTTGGGCAGACAGTAATCACAAAACACAGGAATACACGATACTACAGTTGCAGAGTAATAGGAGTCACATCTCAAGTTTTCTATGAAGTCGTGTTTGATGATGGCTCTTTCAGTCGGGATACTTTTCCTGAAGACATTGTAGTAAGTAGATACTTGTTTTTTCTGTTTTTTTGGAAAATTAAACAGATGGAACCTTTTGAAATATTTCCTTTGACCTTTAGAGGAGATAATGCCTTAATATTCAGTTCATGTTTGCTACTTTCACTGTTGAGAATGATTATTTTCTAATAGCTTTCCAAACCTTGGTTGTTCTAATTAGTCTCTGCCATTTGACCAAATGAATCAAAACTAATCTTACAAAGTCTTTTAATTAAAAAAGAAATATGTATTTAATAAAGGATATGAGAGTGGGAATTCCATATATCCTTATCTGTGTCTTAGAGATAACTTGTAAAAATTCCTTGCTGAATTGAAAAATTCTGCTATAAAGAGAAGAATAGCTCTCAAGAATTTGTTCTAACAACTTGTTTACACCTTCTGATGTTTAGTTTGCAAGATTACATTATTAATGATAAAAATCATCAGGGAGAAGAATGTGTAGTTTATTGCATTTCCAAAAAGCAATTGAGATTTTGATTTCCCTTATGCACTTACATAAACTACCATGTTTTTCAGGACTGTTAAGGAACACTTACTTAGAGAGACATGAAGAGAATTTGCAGACAGTTGGGAAATACTCAGTTTCCTTCCATATTTACAATGAATAGATTGGATGGTAGCCTTCATTGTGTTCATCAGATGCTGTTTGACATCTGTGTCACGATATGACTTTAATCCTTGTTTACCTTCATGCTCCTGTGGTCATGAGGCTTCTTTGTGCAGAACTGATTTTTTGGTGTGCCTCCTATTAATAATCTCTGAAAGCAGTTATAGCCTCCAGGAGGCTAATACCAGTATGCAAAAGTGCTGTTTGTTGCCAGACTGCTTTTCACTTTGTGCTGTGTCCTGTACTGGATGTAGAGGGAGACCCGGGAGTACGTGAGGGTATATGCTTAGCGGTTCAAGGGACGCAGTCCCAGCGGTGCTCAGTGTTCCTGTCCTGTGAAAATGCCTTTGAGCTGTTCTGTTTTCTGCAGGCCTAACCTTTTCATGGAAATAGCATTAACTGTCAGATAGCATCAGTGGAAATGATACTGTTGTTCTTGGAAGCTTCTTAGTTATTGAAAAGTCTAATGCCTTTTGAAAATACGGCATTTGAAGGGGTGCATTTCAAAGCAGCACATGGGAATTTAGCTGTTTACCTCCCACTGGTGCTAACAGAAGACAGGCAGCAAATCCCTGTCACATGTCTTTGAAAATTTATCCTTTAATTTGAAATACTCTGAAAGGCTCCATTAATGATCAAAGGCATTTTGATTTAGGATCATCAAGATATTAGACAAATGTGGCTGTATTGTTATTAGAAGCCCCTCTCTCGTGTATGCCTGCATCAAGGATCTGCTATGGCAGAGATGAGAAACTGCTTGCCACCCTAGTGGGGGAGTCTGATCTGGAGCTAAGAAGAAATGTAATCAGGCCTGGATATGCCTCAGTGCTTCTGAGATAGTGGATGAACAACATATAATTGTTTGATGGAAACACCAAACGAATTTCACATTCCTTAGAGAAATCTTGTTGTGTTTTCATTAGATAATATACCTGCAGCAGTTACTGGAAGGAAAAAAACCTGTTTTTTCTTCTGCCTGGACTAAAACTTGCTAATCCATGCAATGTGCGTATCAGGTGTTAGTGCCGCTGGGAGGACTTATTCATCAAATCTGGTGTGAAAGCAATGTTGCTGCCTATTGAAGAACTTATTTCTCTAATCTGTTTTCACTTTTCAACTAGCTCACAAAGATAGCAGGAGCTTTTTGCTTTTCCAGTATGCGTTGAATCCACTACATAATTTCAGCTCAGCTCACAATAGACCACTATTTCAGTGTTCAGACACAGTGATTTATTTTTAAGGAGAAAAATAGGGAGTAGAGAAATTTCACTCTGCTTCATGAAACTCTGTGTGGATGTAAGTATTCAATAACTACCAAAGCAGGGCATACATTGTTCTCTTCTCATATATATTTTTCTTGATTTGTGTTAGCATTTGCTAAATAGATCAGGGTTGGCCAAATAGGTGTAGCTGTATTCTAGTTTCTTTTTTATTTCAAGCTATTGTTTGGGTGCTGTATCTCCTTTCTACTTTGTGGGAATTTTTTAGTGAAATCACTCCTGAATCACAATGTTTAAACCGACTAGTTAGCTTGGTGATGTACTAACCAGTTAGCTTTCCCTTTAAGCAACAGGTGTGAGCGGGTGCAAAAAAGTGGATGGATACTGTTTTCCCGCTACACAAAACTGTAGGAAAACTCTCTCCGTACATCATAAAAAGACTGCAGTGAGGGGGATGGCATGTCAAATCTGTAAGGAGATGGGATGGCAGCCTTAACAGTTGGTTTAACCATACGGACACACAAGTGAGGAGTGCATATGCTGCAATCCGCAGCAAGTGCTACTAACAGCATGTATGAGTGCCGCCTGTCCCTTCTTGAAGGATTAGCTGGTAATGCTCTGGAGCTTGTCGCACAAACCTTGGCTCAGCACCAGGAGGACCCAACAGGCCAGGTGTCAGATGTAACAGATGCTACACCAGGCAGGCACACTGCTCTTTGGGCTGCCCAGTTAGGGAGGGTTTCCCCCAGTTTTTTTTTTTTTTTTTTTTTTAATATTTGACAGTTCATATCTCCAGTGGAACAGCTTGACAGTTTGCTAGATGTGAATATGCTGGGTCAGATTTATTTAGACAGAGGTTTCCTATGTATTTGTATGTATCTTTCTCTATGTATTTTATCTGTCAAAAGTGCCTTAGCAGCAAGTATAATTAAAAAAAGAAATCTAACCTGACATTAGAACTAAGAATGCAGCTGTTCCCACGCTGCCTCATTAAAATTCGAGTTAATCCTGGAAAGGGAGGCCTGGTGGGAGGTGAGAAAGGTCTCACCAAATTACAGTTATTTTAAGGAAAAAAGGAAGAAAAAAAGATTGTGGAGTCAAGTGTGCTTTTCTAGGAGCAAGTCTGCAAGAAGGTCTGATTACAGGAGAGGTGAGCGCAGCTAAAGGAGCTATGATCTCACTAAACTATGCAATAATCTCAGCAGAGATGTTGCAGCAGGAAAAATTGGACATTGTTTCAAGCCGCTTGCCCCACTGAGAATCTTGATTCTTCAGTAACCAGTTTACACCGAATTCTTTGCTGTCAAGGTTTCGTCATCTGGTTACTCAGCAAACTAGGTGAAGAAAAATGAATGTACTTACTCATGCTGCCATGACACACTCACACTGCTGTTTAGCTTACCATTGAGTGTATGAATTCAGGAGTTCTCCATGCAGACTCTAAGGCTGATCTGTGGGCAAATTTACCTACTACGCAAAAGGTAATGGACTTTACTGATTAAAATTTAGAATGTGAATACCATCCCGAATGTTACTGTAGCTTATGAAATGCTGCTGTAAATGTTACTTAGAAGGAAAGGCATCTTAAGAGATGAGGAAGTCAGAAGTCATTGCAAAGGCACTTGATTGCTATTTTCAGGAATCAATGAGTTTGTTTTGCACAACCTCATTACTGAATTTTTTTGTTGGCATGATAATTTGCAAAAAGCATACCTTTGAGAAAGTGTATTAGCTCAGTTTAAGATAGCATTCAAACAGAAGCTGAGACTGTCAAAAGAGGAACAAAAATATTATTTTAGCATGTATCAGTTCAGTCTATCTAAGATCTGCTTAATATTTTTTTTGTCTACCACTCTTTTTTGAAACGGAAGCTGCTTTGTCCAAAAGAATTCAAGCATGAAAAAACCCCTCATCAAGCAGTGGATTTTCTAAATGCCAGCAGTGAGACCTGGAACCCTAACAGAATTATGCTTATACTAATGTGACTACCTTCTTTCTGTAGTGGGCCCAAGAGAGCCTTCAGCGTGAAGAGAACGGTGAAGATTAAGCTCTGTCTTTCTGTGTCTATCGATACTTGAAATTGAAAGAATTCAAGCATGAAAAAACCCCTCATCAAGCAGTGGATTTTCTAAATGCCAGCAGTGAGACCTGGAACCCTAACAGAATTATGCTTATACTAATGTGACTACCTTCTTTCTGTAGTGGGCCCAAGAGAGCCTTCAGCGTGAAGAGAACGGTGAAGATTAAGCTCTGTCTTTCTGTGTCTATCGATACTTGAAATTCACCGCTGGCAGTGAAAGGAGGATCGGGGCTATTTAGAACTTTGACAGTAAAAGTACATCACTGAAATTATCAAGAAGGCTATGACTGCTTACAGCGTGCACCTAAATTTCACAAAGCCCAGAATTATTATCCTTTGCTTTCTTTGTAATAGAATGGAGCACGTTTTAGTTACTAGCATTTAAAAAAAAACCTGCCAATATAATAGCAAGGCAATTTGAGAAGCTATTTAGAAAAGACTTTTCTGAGCCAGGGACCTTCTTTGCAATTCTCTGTCTCTGTCCTTGCCCACAAATGCTCACTTGATGTCCCTACAAAATTATGAAATGAAAGCTTCGACATCTCCTGAGCCACACTCTAATGTATACACATACTGTGTCTCTAGGCTTGCCGATTATTCTTTTTTCTTGCTGATTCTTGGCTGTTTGAGATTCTAAATGATCCTTCCTGGCCTAGATACCTAGCAGGTGTTTGAAGTTGCGTTGGCATTTATAATCTCAGTAGTTGCCCAAGATGAGGTGAACTAATTGGGGCAAAGTGTAGGCACAGGGGTCAGGCTGAATATAGATTGTCCCAATGATATTATTACTTTCTGTATGTTGTAGGCTGTTGAGAGACAGAACAAATTTACTTCATCTGCCTTTGAGATAGAGCACCAAAGGGATGAAGCCTGACAGTTCTTCAAAAATTATTTCTTCCACCGCCTTATATGGGAAGGAGGAGTACAAAGTACGGCAGGGAGGCTTGGTGAAGGGTACAGTAGTTTAATACTGCAAAGTGACATTATGTAAGTGAAACTTTTTGCATGTGGAGTTCTGTGGGCTACGGCAGCACCCTTGGGGAGGTGAGTGTCAGTGCTTGGGATGTGGCTTCAA